AAAAGTGTTTTCTTTCAACTGGGAACACTCACCAAATTTCCAGTCTCTATCTCAATCTGTTCAAAAGTTACAGGATGATGCGAAATGCTGGTGGTGCGGGACTTTTGAATCACCCTGCAGATAGGGGCCACGGACAACGATACAGGGTTGCCATAATTTCTTCATCTTCAAATTCCCTTGCTATTTTTACTTTCCCCTGACTCCAAAATTTGTGGCATATTTAAAACGGGGTTTCTTCATCATGCACAGGGCCGGATTTACCTACTTGCCGCCCATGGGCCGCCTGTATCTTGCCGCCCCCTTCTCATTCGTTTTGAAACAACAATAAAAACCATCAAGTGAACGTGCCAGCGGGGGAGGGGTGCATAAGACGCGTTTACTCGTGTTGGACACATTTTTTGGGAAAGCCCTGTCAACACTTCAAGCAAAAGTTCACGGAACTTTACGCGAAATTTCTGTTTGGTAAACCTATCTCTTTGTGGACAAGGCCTTCCATTCATAAGAAATGAGCGATAAAATTATGAAAGAGCAAACATAAATGTGGTTTAATGATTTTAACTTCCGCCGCCGTGCCGCGCAGACCGCACCGTGTTTGGCGCAATGCGTGAAGTATTCCGGTACTATGATTTTCACGCCGACCGCTGCTGAACGCACTGTGTTCGACGCAATGCGTGAAGTATTCATGCAGTCTTGCAGGCGCTATCCGTTTCACGCTGACCGCAGTGACCGCACTGTGTTTTATGCAATGCGTGAAGTATTCGTGCAGTCTTGTAGTCGCTAATATGTGTTACATGCCGATCGATCGCCGCGCCGAGGGCTTCTCCTTTTCATCTCAAGTCCTCGTCATCATTTCTCTCCAAGTCGCACCGTTTCAGGCCAAATTGCGTGTTTGGTTTCTCTCTTAACTCGACTAATTAAAGGTGCTGTCACTTGTATCACTGAAAGACGACCAAATTAGAAAATCCTATACTCTCAGGAAATGAGAGATTTTGTCGCCTTTTTTCGTTTGTAATTTTTTTTCTACATCCAATTTTTTTTATACCTACATTGAAAAAATTGCAAAATTTGCCGCGGCCCATGTGGCCACCCCCTTAATCCGACCCTGGTCATGTGAGGTTTAAAAAAATCGGGAAACTTCGCCTCAGCTCAACTCATTGAACTGAGCTCAAGCTCATGCAGTTCAATCCGCACTTTCAAAAATGAATTTAATTTAAAAAAAAAAAAAAAAAAAAA